CGAGAACATGGAATCATACGCTGTCATATGTATTGTCTTTTGTGCAAGTGCTGACGAGTGGAGCTTGGCCCTTAGGGCCACTACTCGTAGGAAAAAAAAAAAAAAAAAAAGAACTCGAATGAATCTTCTGCAAGCACTTGGAATCATACGCTGTCATATGTTTTGTCTTTTGTGCAAGTGCTGACGAGTGGAGCTAGGCGCTTAGGGCCACTACTCATAAGAACAGGAAAACGAAAGAAAGAGAGAGCTCAGTAGTAAGTAGTTGTAGGCTTGTAGCCCATAACTGCTGGAACACAGAGCTGACTTGGGATCCAGAAGATATATTGCTGGCCGGCTCCTCTCTCGTCCGAAATTTGACGAGTGTCTTTGGTGGGACACAGGAGCCACGCAAATTCTTGGCTGGGGGCCCTTCAGAAAAAGAAAAATTTAATTCAATCAATTTCAATGAGGAATAGGTGGGAGGAGGAGGAGGAGGAGGAGGGAGAAAAGAAGGGAAGAAAGAAGAAAGGAGGAGTGGCCCCCCTCTCCCCCCCCCCCCCCCCACCCCCCCAAAAACCCCCCCCAAAAAAAAAAAAAAAAAACACAACAGGGGGCAAAAAAAAAAAAAAAAAAAAAAAAAAAAAAAAAAAAAAAAAAAAAGTAAAATAAAATGGTGTGACATTACATCACGGTCGAGATAGCTGGATCACCAACTTGGGTTAGATGGATGCAGTAGGGACAGGTGGGGACCACCAACTACGAGCTGCCAGAATACTATGGCACCTAGTCCCAGCAACTGCCACCTAGTGGACCAGGTCCGCCAGCCAGCTGGCAGAGTACCGTGACACCTACTGTCTTCCCCCGAACATAATGCATATGAGTAGTATTCGAGTTTTTGAAAAAAGACGATGATTCAAATAGAACACACATGCATTGTATTCGAATATAACGTCTGTTCGGATAGAACACGTGTGCTGTATTCAAATAGAATGCAACGTATGTGCGGTATTCATTTACAACGCATATGCGTTATGTTCGGGGGAAGACGGTAGCAGCACCAGGTTTGTGCTCTTCCAGGACAGCCAATGATATGGAGTTTGCATTTCTGGTGACACGAAACGAGGGTCTTCAATCCCAGTGTGCTGATTGAAGCCCAAGGTAGGATCACTGTTTGAGGTATGATGGTTGTGCTGTTTGTATTTACTCAAGGGGTGCGGGTTGTTTTCTATCTCTGAGGGCAGTGTGCAACCCTGTTTATTGTTTGAGATATATTGAGGATGAGTGTTATATCTAGAAGGTGTAGGGGTGTGCTGTATTTGGATACGAGGGGTGTGCCTCATGCGGGGGTAAAGGGGTGTGTTCAGCTCTTGGGTGTTTTGATTTTGGCATGTTGGGTGGAATCTCTTTTGTTTGTTCGATGTACTCAGCGTATTGGTTTTTTTCGTTTCGGGTGTTTGATTTTGCTGCCCTGGACACACATATGCAGGTCTATAAGCCTCGGGTAGCAGGGCATGATGATGACTCCTTCTTCCCTGCCAGGCTTTTGGCGGAGGTCTCGTTGTTGCCAGAGCATGTCAGAATCCAGAAGGGAAGAAGGGCGGTGGCTATGGCGGCGGGGTACTTGCAGCGCAAAGTACCCAAGATGCCGCGGAAGCAAGCGATCGTTGTCGTCACCGCTGGATGGCACATCCTTTGCTACGACAGCAATCTGAGACTCATCTGGGATCAAAATGTACAGGTAAGTCAAAAAAAGAAAACAAAGAAAAGGGAAGAACAGGCTACATTATAGTGCTCAGCCGCCGTCCGTGGTGTGTGCATTGGATTAATCGAACATAAATAAATAATTTAATTTGATAGTATTTACTATTGAGTTATCTTTATTATCAATCTCGGGAGCAGAATGTAGAGGTATGTTGTGGTGCTCAGGCCTGGTGGTAGTTCTCTTCATGAAAAGATTCATTTTTGAGCTGTTGAGAATTTTGGATTGCTTAACAAAAACAGGAGAAAAAGGGGGAGATCATTATCCAAGAAGGGGTGCAGTTACTCAAGAAGTATCGTAGTAGCAGCTTTTATGATTTGTGTGTCTCAGCCGAAGCTGGGTAATGGCCTTGGCGTCTCAAAATTTCTCTGTATGAATTTCATATGGGACGCTGGGCCCAGTTCCCACCACGTGCTGCTCCCCACGAATAGATTGGAGCCTTTGTTTGTTAAAATAAAAAAGGGGAAGAAAAGGGGGAAAGGACTGGAACGACAAGGGTAAGAGAGGGGGGGGAAACAAGGGTGGGCAAGGAGTGGGGAGAAAGGAGAGAAGGAAAGGAAAAAAAAGCAAATAGAAAATGAGAATGTCTTGTTCTGATCCCAAGCCCTCCGGTCGCCGTCCTTCTTTCTTCCCCCCATGTGCGCGCGCGCGCGCGCGCGCGCGCGCGCGAGAGAGAGAGAGAGAGAGAGAGAGAGAGAGAGAGAGAGTAGAAATACATAAACAAATTGTTTGTCATCTGTCAAATGATCAAATCTAACTGACGGAACGGATTAACTTTTTGGATTTGATGTGTTATTATGCAGGAACATTTCCCCCATGGCGCACACATAAAGGAGATAGCGATCGTAGTTTCTAATTATAGCATGCGTGCTGGTGATCTGGGGTCTGTCATTGTTGGCGGAAGTATGGAGGTGGTACCCGAGGTTAGTAGCGAAGTCACAATTGGAACTTAACGGCTGAGTGCTGTACGGTTGTTTGTAGGCATAGCTGCAAAGGCCAAGCTATTACAAAGCTCAAACGTTTGAGTTTTCTCTCTGTGTATTTTACTGAAGGGGTAGATGTGAAAAAACACAGCAAACGCAAAAAAGAAGTTTTTATTTTCTTATCGGCCATTAAAAGACCCC